TACGTCACCCCGATTCCAAAAATACCCATATTGTGGGCTATTTGACAGAATTTCGAAGTTTTTCTGAAACCGGAAGTCGCCATCTTGGATTTCAAAATGGCGTCAGATATCGATTTCCGTTCCCTATACGTCACTCCGATTCCAAAAATACCCATATTGTGGGATATTTTACAGAATTTCGAAGTTTTTCTGAAACCGGAAGTCGCCATCTTGGATTTCAAAATGGCGTCAGATATCGATTTCTGGTCCCTGCACATCACCCTGATTCTTAAAATACCCATATTGTGGGGTATTTGGCAGAATTTCCAAGTTTTTCTGTAACCGGACATGGGGTCAGACATCGATTTTCAGTCCCTTAACGTCACTCCGATTCCAAAAATACCCATTTCGTGTTGTATATGGCAGAATGTCCAAGTTTTACAGAATTTCGAAGTTTTTCTGTAACCGGAAACCACCATCTTGGATTTCAAAATGGTGTCAGACATCGATATCCGGTCCCTAAACGTCACTCCGATTCCAAAAATACCCATATTGTGGGGTATTTGACAATATTTTCAAAAACCTCTTTTTACGAAGTAAATCCCAAATAACGAGTTTTCTTTTTACGAAGTAAATCCCAAATAACGAGGTTTTTTTTTACGCACTAATTCGATTTACGAACCCCCGTTTTGGTTCGTAAATGGAGGTTCAAGTGTACTACAATTTTCTCGTTCGTTTTGGTCCGTGATTCTTTGCGTTTTTCGCTTTTCCCTTCGCAAATCTACTGGAGCAATAATGTTAGCAATTAAAGCTGAGTGTCAAGATTATATTTTACGAGATAAAGTGCAACTCAGCCGCTCTCTATTTGCATATCGTTCGGCTGTTTACCTCTACTAATTATGTTGAACGGTTCAGATCCGCTCAGAAAGATTAGTCGTTTTACCTACCTCTATTATCCAGTTACTTTCCCAACATAAAATAGTAGCCTATTTATCAATTTCTTTTGTTAAATCATGGAAAATGTATGATTGGTCATTAGGCCGAATGCCACTATTCCGAGGCCGAAATTGGAAAAATAAGGCATGCATATTGTTCTAGTTTATGAAAATTATGAGCAGCAAAAAAAATGGAAGGCACACCCCGAGTAGGAGAAAATAAAAAATGAATACCAACACTTGGTGTTGATGAGTCTGACATAAGAGGTAAAATCCAAAGAATAATACCAAAAAATTGCATGGAAAATACTTTCTTTTTTATTATTATTAATTTATTTGATAAGGCTCAATCGAATTAACTTTACAAAGCCGAGGATCCTTGTTCACTTTACAAAACATCGTAAAACTATAGTCAAAAGGTACAGCACAACAAACACTTTATCTTCCGCTATCCAATAATCTTGCTCCATCAGAACGGGATCCGCTTCCAGTTGTTCCAGTTCCAGTTGTTGCATTGTATGGCAGTGTCGCCAATGGGGACAGAGCGCTTCCATTGCAGCAATGGACGCAAAACGTGGTCAGCACTCACACAATCATCACGAAACGGTTGCTTTCTAAAGTCGACGACGCATCGACCAAAAGAACTGCTGATGAAGAACAATGAGGAGGACCACACAATGCTTGCTGTCGAGTAAACAGACCATCGAGAGTGGCCTACATCTGTCGACAGCCGAGTGAACACTGGAAAATACTTTCTTAATAACGAAAATTGACATTCGGATACCAAAAGAATACATGTGGGGTACCGTTTTGGCATTGCATTTGATTATTTTGAAATGATATTGTGGGATTTTTTTTTTGTATTATCCCTTAGTATTTTACCTCTTATGTCAGGCTAATCCATAACAATTTATGGTATCGAGATATTCGTTCCTGCTCGGGAGGGGCGATCAGACGGGTTAAAATTTAGTTTTAGTCGAGTCGACTCAATTTCGTCAAAAGTGAATTTACTCTAAAGTGAGCTGAATTTTTCGTTCTTTTCCAGGAAAAATTGCTCGAATATGAGGAAAATCGATTGAATTTTCACTCAGTCTATTAGTGAACTCCTAGACTGAGTAAAATTTTCATGGATTTTCCTCAATCTGTGCAACATCATGTTGTTGAACAGTTTATCCAAGATGGTACAATAGGCTCCGAATAAACCACTCATGATTAGAAGAAGGAAAATTCTGCTAACCTTAAGCCATACGTATATGGAGATTAGCAATTTCTGAAACTCGAATAATTAGCTATGAAGCTAGTCTTCAGACTAATTCTTTTTGTAGGATTGTTGTTTTTCAAAGTCGACTTATCTAAGTACAGAAAGTTTATATTCTGGTCATGTTTGGATCGTGAAAGACTTGCTGATAGAGAAATCATCATAGGCTAAAAATACCATAGCTGCGAGATCTCAATTTTTCACAAGTCTTAGTTCTTAAAATATGTTCTAAGCCCATGATCTTCGAAAAGTATAACAAGTAGGAGATCTTAAAAATAAGGGCGAAGTTTGTGATTCTCAATTTATTAGAATAAGATGTTGAAGTTTTTCCTTAGATCAAGAATGTGATATGTCTCAGACAGTTTTTATAGTCCCAGAGGGTTGAAAATTGTTTAAAGTAACAGACAACAATTGACTTTTATATATCCAGCCTAATGACCCATTCGCTCTAATGGCCTTCGGGCGAATGGCTTTTGCCCTAATAACCCATTTGGCCTAATGATCGGCCTACTTGCTTTCGGCCTAATGGCCCTACAACGACAACAGATTTGGGATGACCTAATAGTAATAGTAGATTTTATGTAACTTTCGTTTAATCTCCATAAGACTGCAAAGTTACGGAAAAAAAACGTGTGTTCAATGTAGATTTAATGAGGAAAGCATAACTTAAATCCTGTTTCCAGTGGTTAAGAATTAAGAAAAATCTCTAATTACTATTCTATGGTAGCCTTCGAGTAGTAGAAAACGTCATTTTAAACTGCTCGAATGATGTGATTTCTTCAAATGAACATTTGCAATATGCTTTTAAATAGTTTGTGTAAATTTGAAGCTTATTTTTTCACAATCTAGCGATACATTTACGTAATGATGTTGCTTTGTTTTGCATGAATATTTTTTTTCCTTTGGTTTGTTTTTTCCGTCGATCTTGTTTTCCGTGCTGAGCACCAATGCTACCGACGTGCCAGGAAGGCAGCTCCCACACCTGGACCCTACCTATCGACCCATCAACTCATGAACCGGGGACCAACGGCTTTACTTCCCATCCGAAGGAAGGCGTGATCAGAGATGTTATGCCTCAGAACATCCCGGCGGCGCCGACTGGGATTGAACCCAGGCCTGCTGGGGTGAGAGGTAATCACGCTTACTACTACACCACCGGTGCCGTTTGCATGAATATTGAAAACAATGTATTTTTTATATGGAGCGTTTACACATTTTATCAACTTTTGCAGTCAATTTTTTCCTCTGTTCGGGACATTACACCACTGCGACCAGTTATTTGATCTATTGTGGTATATCCCGTGTCTTTAGTTTAGTGCATGTCGTATTACTCCATCACTATTGAGAAATGATGAAGTATTCGGTTTTGATACAGTTGTCAGTCTTGCCTACATCGCAAGGAATCGATTTTAATTGAAAGGTCCCGCTATTCATACCCTTCTGAGTTGGAACATCCTTCAAAGGCGCGCCCCTTTGTCAGTCAAAATTGGATTCCTTAGCAACAAAAACAAGCAATGACACCGCTAATGACCATGCATCAGAACCCTAGTCTTAACCACTTCAAACTAGGGAACAACGAATAGAAGATTAGGAACCACATAGGTGAAGACTAACAAACTCATTTTTTCTTTGTTTAAAGATCATCCTCGGTCCAGGCAACCCGAGGACTTATTACTATCAACAAAACATAAAAAGTAACAAGGACTAAGATGTGTTCATTTGATTACTGAAAAATACTGTTCCCCTAGTTTGAAGTAGTCAGGACTAGGAATCGGTGGTAGATCTTACATCCCGTAACGTACCACGAAAAGATGATTTACCCACGTTACGGGGCATACTATGGCTTGTCAATTCCTTCTAAGACAGCTCTTCCTTATTAAAGAATGTTAATCAACAAAACTAACGTACATTTTGAATATACTATTACCCCTATATCTACTAATAACCCAATTACGATACAAATCATCAGAACCATTCTAGTGCAATATTGGGCATGTCTTAGATTGCCATAATTCAATTACCACAACATCAAAGTTTTTAGAATAAGAGAGGAGTAAGTATTCCTTTGGCTAGTGTGAATTTTCACTAATCACAGCTACAGTCAACTCTCCAAAACTCGATATCTGCTAAGTCAATATCGAGTTGCTTTTCATGGCTAGTACGATGGTTCTGCCAATTAATTTCCTATTTGTTTGTAGTTCCATAATTCGATAATTTCAAGTCGGGAGCTGACTGTATATTCAAAAACTCTCTGATTAATTGACGGAAAAGTTCATCAAATTGACGAATTAACTTTATCGAAGCTGATTTATCATTGTTACCTGACGAAATGCTAAAGCTACTGTTGAATGAAGAATGATTTTTTTTTATTCGTGAACGCGATGTACGAAGTTGAATGAATGGGAAATGGTATTCTCGACGAGTGAAAAAAAGAACAGCCACAACTTAAAGTACGTGCTTCACAAAGGTTTTTAAGTTTTTGTACTCGAAATGGAATGTGTAGGGATAAGGAACCGTTTTTTCTCATTCATTTGTTTTTTTTTTCACTCGAACCGTTTTTTTTTTGCTTAGTAGAAATAATAACTTGTGGTTTATTCTGCTTTCGCTCCAAATGCGTTCGTTCAAATTTTTCCTCTTATTTAATTATTTACTCAACGCTGTATGTGTAACAGACAAACATCGAACATCGCAATATTTAATTTATTTATTTTTTTCATTAATTTGAGCATTTTGGATTTTTTTTTTGCGTGCTCTCAACTTTCATCAGGCTAAACGGAAAATATGCTGGCAGCAGCGCACAATGAAGCCACAAAACGGCATAGACTTACCATCGTGCAGTGGATCTATCGTGTGGATCATCAGCTGCAGCAGACCATGTCGGAATTTGGCCCCGGTTGCGGTTTGGTTGTGATGGGCCGGTACGTTACCACTACTCGAACCGGGCGGCCCCGATCGGCTCTCGGAGGCCGCCCTCGACGTCACCGAGCCGCCTGGTTGTGTCGCCATAGACGTTTCCGACGAATTGGCTGCATTACCCTGGAAAAAACATTGCCGAGAGGAACGATTAGCACGCACTATTCTGCTGGGTATAAAAACCAGTGTCAGGTTCGTTTGTTTTTATGGTTCAATTTAGTTAACCATGTTGATCCAAATTGATATGTTTTTTTATATATATTTTATTTATATACTAAATACGAGTAAGCGGTAAAGCGGTTGGCTAAATTAACAAATTCATAAAACGAACATTAAATTTGAACAATTTTAATTAAATTTGAAACGAACGAACAGGTAATGGGAAATATAAAAAAAATGAATCGAATGAATTTTAAACACCTCGTTATGTACACGTGTTCGATTTCATGCCGGATTACGGTCCCCATGGAACTCGTATTTGCATTTCTGAATCTTTGATGAGGTGAACAACGGGTCATGCAGTATGATTCGATAAAATGTGCTTTAATGTGTGTGTGAAATTTCCGGTAAATCAGTTTCATTATTTGTATTTATAGAGTTTGATAAGTAAAAATGTTTTTAGTTTTTAGGACCACTCTTATGATATAATTTATCAATTTGTTTAAAACTGTCGATTACCATATTTTAGCGTTATTGCTTCATAGGAGTACATTAACAGGTTTATTACAGTTTTCGAACATAAACAGATTCATTCAAGCTCCCGGTTGGATCTACTTTTCTTGAGTGTCTGATTTATGAAAATGACATTGCAAGTCTGTTGCAATATTGATTTCTCAAAGAAAATAAAAAAGGTCCCTGAGTCGAAACCACTATCCAGCAGTTTTTCTTACTGACCAACCCAAGCATTTTAACGGAATGTAATTTGTCATTGCTAATTCCAACTGGGAAAGCTTTTAATTTATGACCATTTACTCCGACTTCATAAATCTAGCCATTGTAACGGAGGATGGAAACATGATGAATAGTGAGCAAAAGCTGGCACTTTCCATGTCGGGTACTACGGCCACCCACTCATTTATGTCGGAGAAAATCAGTCATGCTGGTTGTTGGGTTTTTTTCGGCTACCGATGCCATGTATTGTGTTACGGATCTCCGTTCCCAGAGGACATTATCGATTCCATAAATTGGCAACAGTTGTTGGTTTATTAGGAGCAAAAATTTAGAATGTCCCTTTGCTAATCGCGGCCCTCAGTCTGTAGCAGAGATGCCCAATTAACTTGCTATGGGACATTTAATTCAATTCTAGAATCAGCTCCCAACTAGCTAATTAGTCAATCCGCGATTGCTTCACAACAATTAGTAGTCATTTGCGTTCATTACCAATTCAACGCAAATCTCGTGGAATAAATCTTGGATGTTCGAATCTAGAATACCTTTGACTTACTCGAGAATAATCAATATGAATTTAAGATTGCTGCTCGGTAGAAGTTCTGGCGATTAATGGTAGTAAATGATGGGAGGGTATTTATCCTTTATGAGAATGATAAATGGTTTGGGATGAGCACTATTCAGCAGTAATAATCATTCCTCCGGCGTTTTTGTTGGTTTTCTTGCTTTGAAAACCTCAACAAGCGGTTTTTGCATCCATTCCACGAACATGCATAATGTATCATTGGACATGCTGCCTCAATGAACTTTATTCTCCTAACAGAGACTTTAGATGCTCAGCTAATTGGCATGTTATGTCAACACAGCTTATTTCAATAAACCAAATTTGCTTCATTGGAACAAAATAAGCTTTGATAGATTATAATTATAATGCTACACTCCTGATCATAAGTTTTGGGCTACCCTTAAAAAAACATTTTAAATGTTTTTGTCTCATTTCTCTACCATTTTACGATTTATTTTTGATCTTTATAGATCATTTGAAATGCATTAACTGAAATTTATTTCATAGCTCACTAGATAAGTGGATGTAATGTCAGCCTAAATGCCCCTAATTTGGGCCCATACATAAATTCAGCAGTCGACTAAATTTTCAATAGCGACCAAAAATATCCATTAGTACCGTCCCAATGACGTGTTTATCTAGATAAAATTGATAAATAGCAGATTTTTAGCGATGGGCCCAATCTTAGATCCATAGGCCAACATTAGAGCCATTTACCCTACCAGTAAAATTGAGCAACAGGAACAACGTAGTAAGCACTTATGCATTCCTGGACCCAGGATCATTACTTAGCCTGATTGACGAGGACATGGCTAATCAACTGGAACTAGATGGATGGCTAGACCCATTAGAACTAACATCGACGCTTTTTCTACATTCTTCAGAGTTGAATTCTTTTACTATGTAAGCATACCCATATTCATAATCTGAAGTCTGTGAAAACATTCCACACTGGTATGATTTAACAATTAAAAATGAAATGTAATGTTTATAGGGCAATACAATTGGTACTCTAGCGTTCCTAGACATATAAGAGGCATTCTCTAAAGGTCCTTTTGCTCTAAGCAATCCATTTTCATCGATTATGGGGCATAACTGAAGTAATCGGCTTGATTTCTCGATCTCATGACCATTTGTTAATGCATAGTAGAATTTTAGCTATGGGCCCAGTCTTAGATCCATAGGCCAACATTAGAGCCATTTCCCCTATATATCACATTTTTTTTTGTAAATTTACACTTCTCTTAAGTTCCAACATTTTCCAAAATTCATACTTAATGATGATGAATGATGAATGATTTTCTCACAATTGGGTCGGCATAATCTTGAAATGAAAGTGGATTGAACCCTTATTCTATAGTCATCGAACTAAGATTGTGAAAGTTTAGTTGAGAACTTTTAAATATGCTTTAAATCAATAAAACAGTTCGACAGTGAACATGCATAAGGGCGAATACGCGATGATCGATTCTCTTCATCGATTTTCTCTTTGCATTGCTACAGCTAAGCGAAACAATTTTCTAGAATTTGTTCAATGCAGAGTAGTAACAGGTTGTATTGGCTATCAAAAGCAACAGCAAACGCACCGAGAAACGTTAAATCTAGCGAGTTATTAACAAAAGAGAAAATCGACGAAGAGAATCGATCATCGCGTATAGGCCCTTATGTATGCTCACTGTCGAGTTATTCAAGTCATCGATCAACAGTTCGGGGTCACCCCACAGTATGGTTTGTCGTTGTTGTAAGTTAACTTAAGATTTTAGTACAAATATATGGTCAAATATGATGAACCACATTGCAATGGAGTAAGATCCATTAATTGCCTTTCAAATACTGCAAAGAGAACTAATATTGTGCAAAACATGACAGTTATATATAAAAAACAACATTCCCAGGTTTTGTTCTGAGGGTAACCCCAAACCGTTGAGCGATTTCTCCACACTGTGGCTCTTTTTGTTCGTATCTCTGATATTTTTTGTCAAATTGTAGTTCTCTTTGCAGTAGTTGAAAGGCAATGAATGGATCTTAGTTTGTTGATGTGTGCCTTATCACATTTATCCATATATTTATACTAAAATTCTTTCATCCCCCTCATCATCCCTCTCCAAAGGGGGAGTTTGGTAAAGAGAGATGATAAAACCGATTTGTACCTTCCTTAAAATTGTCCTAGCTCGCTGTCTACCAGGCTTGCTAAAACTCCTCAAACTCACTGGAGGTTATAAAATTCTCTTGTCCTGCGAGTTTAGCCAGCCCTCACCTCGAGTGAGTGGTGGTGGTAGGAATTTGGAAGAAGTAAACAAAAACTCCTCGAGAGAGAGGGAAAGTGAACTTCAGCGAGAGGATGATTTGACGTGAGGTGCGCTTTTCGAGACTCCGGATGACCTTTTTGTTCGACGCAAGAAGCTCAGAGTTCACCCAGAGTGAGAGTAAGAGCGTGTGATAGAAAACATGAACATGAATGGCAGCAAACCTCACTCTCATTTTATCCCCCTTCGCTCACAAGTTCTGAAGCTCAGCGGCAGGGTTGCTTCTACTCACTTGCTATAAAATATTGTTTTTCGGAATTATTAAATCATTAGATGTTAGATGGTAGTAACGCTTTGTACATTCCTATCAATGTGCTCGTCGAAGCTCTCTCCATGACCATCCATCAAGTTAACGAAAGAAGTAAAAAGCAACTGGTGAATGTCGTATTCTGTTGTGATCCATCACCGATCTGGTCATTCCCGACAATCACGACACTCATCTGTGCTCGTTTTGAAGCAGTTGCTGCTTTGCTTGTTTATGTGAGTGTGTTGGTGAGTGAGCCCAACAGCTTCCGTTTCATGTTTTTTTTTCCTTGATTTGTTTTCCGTCGATCTTGTTTTCCGTGCACCAATGCACCCGACGCCAGGAAGGCAGCTCCCACACCTGGACCCTACCTATCGACCCATCAACTCATGAACCGGGGACCAACGGCTTTACTTCCCTTCCGAAGGAAGGCGTGATCAGAGATGTTATGCCTCAGAACATCCCGGCGGCGCCGACTGGGATTGAACCCAGACCTGCTGGGGTGAGAGGTAATCACGCTTACCACTACACCACCGGCGCCGCTACCGTTTCATGTTGCCTGCTTTGTTTGTAACTCACACAGTTGCGCCTGCCGAGACGAACTTGGAATGCGTAGGCATTGTTTACATTTTCTTCTGTCATTTCGCTTTTTCTCATCATCGTACTGCAGAAGTCTTCACTGTTTTCGTTCTGCTTTTCATCATCAGCAGCGAGTGTAACGTTTTGCTTGTGAGCAGCGACCATTACTGGTGATTGTTGTTTGCCATGGCTCTAACTCTCACTGCGTGACAAAACGATCTGTTAGCGATAGTCGGTTGATGCGAAGAAGAGTGTCACGTGAGTGTCATGATATTTTGCATCACTGCATATGCCAAACTTCTTTTAATTGAATCTGATTTATGTTTCATCGGCCATAAACCCTTTAATATCAGGGAGAAATTGTACACCTTACGGGAATACTAGAGATTGTGGGATACGAGTATTTTTACCCGAAAGACAACATATACCCGTACTCGACGAGTTTGGACCTGGTACGGCTATATAAACTTTAAATTTCGGGAACGGACTCGGTTATTAAAAAAAAAAATCATTTCGGTTTCGCGGCATGTACGGATTCTTA